TATATATATATATATATATATATATATATATATATATATATATATATATATATATATATATATATATATAAAGGAAAATATATTTTTGGAGATCCACATTAATAAAGCTCCTTCTGGTTGCCATGTTCATGTGAGGGGAAGTCAGACAGAGAATTAAATAGGAGAGTTAGATCAGCAGGACGGCAGAGTGCATTTGTTTATGCTGATAATAACAACTATGATCATGTCCAAATGTGCATACTTTAAGCAAGAGTTTATAAAAGAAATATTTATGTCATGTTCTTCTCGATCTGAGACTTTTTCCTAAGCCATGAAACAAATCTCGGTTAATTTACAACACTTCAAAATATGTGCAGTAAAATAAGTTGAAGTTGTCATCAAGTGATGATTCAAGCAGTCAAACAGGGAAGCACTTTCTTGATAGCTTCCCTTTTTGTAATTAGCTCTAATTCACAATCTATATTCTTCCACTCGATGGCAAGATTTGAATTTGTTGTCTTTGTGATCATGTAGACCATGTAAAACTTGAGATCCATCTGAAGTAACCATGAACAATTGACATTGTCAATCATATGTCACCAATTATATGCAGCAGCAATATGACTCAGTCCATAGTGATCACAGCTGGAATGAAAATGGCATGTGGAGAGGATGTCCATATAATTTATGGTGTAACATGATCTGATCAAACATGAAGATTGTCAGCTCTGAGAGGCAAAGAACATGGAAATCGTGAGGATGATAGGTCCAATGAAGGCTTTGTCGATCGGAGAAAACTATTGGAGAAGAAATTTCAGCAATTGTTCAACCACCACACAGGTCAGCATCCTCACCAACCTCTGTCCTCTAATGGATTAGGTATGAAACAGCTGCCTAATTGCCTTGGCAATGGAGGGGGCACCACAAAGAAGGTGGAATCCAATTTCTCAAGCATAGAACAAAGGAACAGTACATTGAAGTTTCTCCCACTAGACTTAGACTTCCAAGCTCAAGTTTTCTGACTCAAATCTTCCACAAGAGTAGCTGAATTGAAGATGTATGTCGTCTATTTTGGATTTTGACTGGGCTTGTAAGAGTAGATGATAGGAATCCAGCCATTAGATACTCAACATGACGAAAGGCGACCATGAGCAGACCTTGGCTTGCAGGTGCAGACTGTGGGACACGACAAATCGTTGGCCACGAGGTGGTTCATCTTTTGATGCTTGATTTGTTTCGGAGATGGCATTTGCTCAAACAAGAAGAAGAAGAAGACGAAGAAGAAAGGAGGAAAGGAAGCAACATCAGCTTCAGTCAGCTGGTCACAACCTACAGTTCATTCACGAGGCATGATCCGAACTTCCTGTCGATCCAACCTTGCGGCCATTGTCAAGTGTGAGAAAGTTGGAGTTTGGTGTGGAATGCTCTTCACCAACCATCTCTCTCTCTCTCTCTCTCTCTGTCACACACACACCCACCCAACCACCCACCCACCCACAGAGAAAAAGAGTATACTAGCGGCAGCTGCGCTTGTCAGCTTGCCATTAACGAGTTCTGTCTTTACTGTAGTGAGGATGAGTTGCCACGAGAAGAGAATGGGAGATGACAGTGTGGCAGAAATTGGTTCACACGTCTCACCAACCCAAATGGTGGAGGAGATGTGCTCGATCTGGCCCTTACATGGACGAGTTCAGCTCCACGTACGTACATGCTCTCAGACATCGGTCATGAACAATGGAACAGTGTCTTTCCTCTCCTCTAGTTTGCTGACCTTTTCATCTGCTACCAAACACCCTTCTTCTGATCGAGCAGGCTCCATTTATCAGCCAATTTTTAGATGTTTTGGACAAGGCAGTGCATAAGCAGACATGCCCTGTCTTCTTCAAGACCGGACGGAGTGCATCCACCAGAATCGATGCCAGTCAAGGAAGAGAACTCCAAAGCAAACGATGAGTGGTTCATGCAACCTCACCTAAATCTACCAACACACAGCTTGGATATCCATGCAAGTAGAGGCTACGAAGAGTTTGTTGTTATTGTTGTTGTTGCTGCTGCTGCTCCTACTGATGATGCTGTAGTTTTCATTCAATCGAAACGTGTGTTCCTTACATCCATGAACAAGGCATGGTAGCTGAAACATTGATGTCGGCAACTCCAACCCCATTTAAATTGCCATCAGAATGATAGGAATATGTGTGTGGGATAGTTTAAGATCAACCTTCGAGTCTTACTGCAATGTTCATCTGTAGGACTAATCCTGCAGTAGTGCATTGGATTACTTCCAGGAATCAAATGCAAGGTCAAACAAAGTTGCTGTGGAAGGGAAAGGGAGGGTTTTCCTGAGCATGCATACAGATTGCAAGCTTTCTATTTTGCCCAACCTGAAATTAAAGGGAAAACAAATTTGATGTTTGGTTGAAAGTGACTGAAATTTAGTATGTTGTTTTCAGAGTTCTGACAATTCTGATCCAAATCAATAATCTCCAAATCTGTAGAATTCTTTAATAGAAATATAGCTGAGGCACAATCTAAATTCTTATTTGAAATAGATGATTTACATAAAAGCTCCAATCCAAAAGTCTTATCGACACATCATCACATGGTTTGCAAGCAGCAGCAGCAGCAGCAGCACCTCCTTTTTGCTTTTGCTCCAATTCCACCATCTTTAAGAGATCAACATCCCTATGATTGCAGAGCTTCCACCAACAAAGAATGTTGACCTCAAACAACTGGAAAAAAGGCAGACAATGAACACACTGGATAAAGTGAGCTGAGGACATGAAGAGCAAAGAAACTTTGGTGAGCTTGGAATAGAAATGTTTCTTCTAGCTTTAAACAAACATCATGCCAAAATCCAGAGCATATGCCAAGTACTAAAGTAGCTACTCATTTCTGGAGATTGTTTCTGAGAATGTTATTCTAGATCATTTAGTGAACTAATGATGAGGAACAATTGTTTGCAGGTGAAATGCCCCATGACAAATCTTGTCTGCTTTACTTCAAGGAATCTTTCTGTCAGTTGGTAGAACACTGACAAACTCCAGGTATGAACAAGCATGTAGAATATGATAAAGAGGTTGAACAAGTGCTCAGTAGCAAATGAAGTAAAAAATAATAATTATTATTATCTCTCTCAAAAATAAGAAGAGAAAAAAATATCAAACTTAAATTTAGCTATTTTACCGAATCGGATCTTATGAACTTTCTTTTACAAAAATATAAAGAAATCTCCATTACATTAATATGAGACTTATCAATTATGTAATAATATACTAACCAATCCAATATGTCAGAAGAGACATATATATGACTTTATGGGATATTATGATATTATAAAAAAATCTTTCAAAAAAATTTGAGGAAGAACATTCACATGCGAATATAAACAAGAAATTTAAAGTATATTTTTAGATTCTTGATGTTTACATACTATCTAAAGATAAGTATTACCACACTTTAGTGGTCAAACATATAAATGCATATTCCTAATAATGGCTTGGCAATTATCTCAAGATCATAATGCAATAATTTTAGGAAGAAAATTAAACATACATACATGAAACTTGCCCAAAAGAAAATAGGAGAGAAGAAAATTTACCTGGAAGTAAGTTGAAAAATGATCCAAACCAGAAACAGGAGAAATAAGTCTAACTGGAGTCAAGAAAGTCCATGATCATATTGTAAAACAAGAAACAAGCTAAAAGAAACTCAAAATAAAAAAAATAAAGTAAGAATTAAATTTGAAAATAAGTCAAGAAGAAGAAGAAAAAAAAGAGCTAAAATGAATTTAGTTATGGCTGAATGGTCAAACACTTTTGTTTTTTTTAGTATGACAAGGAAAAAAGAAGAGGAGATTTGTAGAATCGATCGATAGGCTAGTGAAAAGCTAAGCACAAATCCTTAGCTCATGTAATGATCTCCAAAATAAAATGATATGATCTTTCTTTTCTTCTTATGCATATTATATATACAACTACTTGATCATCTCTGCATGTTTTCTCTCTTCAGATTCGCTCATTAGACTAATAATTGAGCTGCTTGTCCACCACATCCGTCCCTTAAACATATATTAGACAGAGAGAACTGTAATCCACAAACAACTATTTGTATCAGCACCCAAACCTGGAAGAACTGCTACTACTAAAACCTTAAGAGATGATGAAAAAGGATACTGAAGAGGCACTGCTCCCACCACTCGAGCACATACAATCCGAACGTCACCTTGTAAAGGAAAACTTTCCTGCTAATCCAATTCATCTCCCTCTCTCTTCTTCTTCTTCTTCTTCTCTTCCCTGCTCTTCTGGCATCGAAAGAGTGGATATGATGCTTATATAGAGCAGAAACTTCTTCGTCTGCAAATTGTG